TTATAAAAGTGGTGAATAGCACAAGATGAACCAGCAAAGTGAGGAGAAAAATATCAGAACTTTTATTCAATGTAAGAGCTTTATATTGTTAAATATATGGATGGACAGGTGATTGTATAAGAGGGAGTATGTTTAGTGGAAAAGTGAAGTCTTGAGCCAGTCTAACCACAAGTGGTGGTTAAGCCACTTGGCCACCACTGACATTATGCAAGTTATTTAACTCTCCTGTGCCTCTATTTCTTCACCTATAAAACTGACAACATAATAATCCTAATTCATACGGTTGTTATGTGAATTAAATGGGTTAATATTCATAAAGCACTTAGAACAGTGCCTGAGCAAAGAAATCACTGTATCAATGTGAGCTTTATTATGTCAGATGGTCACAAAGAGTATGTCAGATGTCCTAAAGAAATCCCAAAGGAAAAGTAGGAGTTCCACCAGGTGAAAGGGTTTACTGATTCATTCACTTTCAGAGAATTGTAGAGTATTAAAGCATCCAACGATCTGCTCATATGAAATTTTTAAATTATATTTTCTAATTTTAGGTAAACTAACTCACAAGGTGGACAAGTGGCTTTAAAAGATTCTGGCAAAGAAGTAAAAGTAATACTATTATTGCAAGCACCTGAAAATAAAAACAATGACAGAGGTGACTACTCCTATTCTTGGTAAAAAGTCATTCTAAAGGAAAAACAAGACCATCTAATTAGAGACATAAGAAGATGGCCAAAAAATTTAAATTATCAAGAAAACTGTGTTAACTATATACTATTTTTATTTGCCCCCCCAAAACTATGCAAATATGCATTTTTACCCTTTATCATTAATTCCAACTTTGCCCTAAATATATTTTTTGCCTTGAGATACAGAGTCCATACTCCTTTGCTGAAGCTCTTGGAGCAGATGTGTTCAGAATTTAGAATTTCTCAATTTAGATTTTTGTAAATTATTATAGTGTCTGTGCCATATATTACTAACACTCCCCTAGCAGGATCTCGGGCAGCATCCCATAACCAAACACATTAACAGTTCTGCAGAGAAAAACAGAAACTTTCACACTAAGTAGGATAAATGAAGATCATAAATAATCATTTTTGGCAACATCTACTATATATTTGCTATAAATTGTTATTTACATAGTATCTTAAGGTCCTAAGACATATTTGCAAAAAGAGACAAACATATCAAACACATTATTATTCCATTTTCAAAAGGAACTAATAAGAAACTCAGTAGAGTCGGTGGCTCACAAGTCATGGTAAATTCAATGCGGCCCCTGAATAATGCCATTAGTCAAAAAAGACAGTCTTTACTGATGAGAGCTGTAAATTTAAATGGAAAATTAAAAGAAGAGAACTTGCTTAAGTCACATATTTCTAAACTAAAAACACAGGAAGATACTAAATTTCCTATCACTAGCATAAATTTCACTGAGTCAGAGCCATTGCTGGGCAGTCACAAGAGAATCTGGGATCTCCAGGAGCATTTAGCCCTTCCAAGTACTATTTCCAATTGTATCTGGTTGCTGCAGCCCCACAGGGAGCCCCTGACCACCCTCAGCCTGGATGCACAGAGAACCACTCCCTGTAATACCCATTCCCAGTGTCTTCCCCCACTGCTGTGAGGGAAAATCCAGTCTTTAGACATTGAGTGGAAGAATCTGGGAAAAGCCCAGCAGTTGGAAGAACCAACAAGATAGACTTCCAATGCCTTTCATCAAATGGCCCAAATGTCTTTACTCTCCTTGATTTGTTTCCATTAAATTCAATCAATTAGAATTTTTTTTTAACTTCTTTTGAAAAGGCAAGCACCTCTTGAATGCTTTTTCATGAGTTTAATACAATTGTTTGCCTACTAATGAGACTAGCCACATGTGAGTTCAATTTTCACTTTAATAAACATGTATTAACACCTGTTAATGTGCCAGACATACTAAGTGAGCCAAATAAAGATCATAAATAGCTTCGTGGAAGCACAGGGCGTTTGTCACCAAATGAGTGTCCCCAATCTTGGGGGGGGGGGCGAGGAGTAAGGGCATCAGGGGAAGAAAAACCTTGAACAAAAGTGATAATGCCATGAGAGACAAGGTAAGGATGGTGTGCCAGCTTACAGCAGGAAATTTAACTAGTCTGAGTTGGGAAAGAGTAACCCAAATGGAGATGGGGGATGGGTTAATGTTAATCAGATTAAGGTGGGGCAAGGCTATCCCAGGCTCCAGCCCAGAGTGACTGTAGGGTGGGTAGTCCAGCCACAGAGGACCCTGTGGGTTCTCGTCCTCCTGTCAAGTCCGGTGACTGACAAGCTTTAAGCAGAGGAATAGCCTCAGCTGACCTGAATTTTAAACAACCCCTTTGGCTAAATGAGAATGAAGTGGATGGGGGAAACCATTTAGGAATCTATTACAGAAATGCAGAGAAGAGATGATGGAGGCTTAAACCAACTGGTGTCAGTGAAACTGGGGACACTAGAGAGATTCAGACATTCAGAAGTTCTTTGAGGAGACAACATCCACAGGACACAGTGAATTTACAGGAAGAGGTGAAAAGGAAGAAGACTCCTGGATTTTTGCTTTGAACAATGGATGGGTGGTGGAGTCCTGTACTGAGGAGCAGGGTTAAGGGGTAGGATGATGAGTCCAATTCTAGGTATGTTGCTTCTGAGGTGCCTCAGGAATATCTGAGGGGTGACAGATATTCAGAGACACTTGAGTATAGGGGAGAGATGCCAATCTGGAGTCACCAGCATCAGGATAGTAACCGCCTAGTACGTGTGAAGAGTAAGAAATGCAGGCAGATGCTCTACTGTGAGATGCAGAAGTCTGATGCTTAGGGGATGAGACGAGGCAGTGGAATGGGCAGGCAAAGGAGGCCACGAAGGACAGCCAGAAGGCAGGATGTAAAAAGGCAAGTGTGACATAAAAGACTCAAGGTCAATGAAGATACAAACTGAAAAAATCCAGGGATTTTGGGACCTGGAAGTCATCCACTGGCTGGTTTAATGAGAGCATTTTCAGGGGAGGGGTGTGGGTTTGGAGTGGGTTGAAAAGTGAATGTGAGGTGAAGAAATGAATTCCAAAGTATAGACGACTTTTTCAAGATCATGGGCTATAAAAGGAAGAAGACATTAAGAGAGTAATTTCTGTGGAAGAACCACANATCCAGGGATTTTGGGACCTGGAAGTCATCCACTGGCTGGTTTAATGAGAGCATTTTCAGGGGAGGGGTGTGGGTTTGGAGTGGGTTGAAAAGTGAATGTGAGGTGAAGAAATGAATTCCAAAGTATAGACGACTTTTTCAAGATCATGGGCTATAAAAGGAAGAAGACATTAAGAGAGTAATTTCTGTGGAAGAACCAGGTNGAGGCAGTGGAATGGGCAGGCAAAGGAGGCCACGAAGGACAGCCAGAAGGCAGGATGTAAAAAGGCAAGTGTGACATAAAAGACTCAAGGTCAATGAAGATACAAACTGAAAAAATCCAGGGATTTTGGGACCTGGAAGTCATCCACTGGCTGGTTTAATGAGAGCATTTTCAGGGGAGGGGTGTGGGTTTGGAGTGGGTTGAAAAGTGAATGTGAGGTGAAGAAATGAATTCCAAAGTATAGACGACTTTTTCAAGAACATGGGCTATAAAAGGAAGAAGACATTAAGAGAGTAATTTCTGTGGAAGAACCACAGATGAGGGGTGATTTTGTTTTGTTTTTAGATAAGAGAGTTAAGTACTTTTCAAAGATGATGGTAATAATACAGTAAAGAAGGGACAGTTTGAGGCTGAGGAGAGGGGATGATGATTAACAGGAGGTTCCTGAAATGCGCAGAGGCAGGGCTCCACAGTGGAAGGGAGGGTTCACTTTGTCTGGGAGGAATGACACTTCTTCCCCAATGACAGCAGATGAAGAGGATGGGACCAATGCCTATAGACTCACAGAGATTTTGGTGGGAGGATGAGGGAGCTCGCACATCATGGCTTCCAGCTGCTCAGTGTAGTAGGAGGCAAAGTCAGCTCTGAGAGTTAACCAGGGGCAGAGGTGAGATTTGAGGGAAGCAAGCAGAGAAGGTGGAACGAGCCGTTGCGGAGAACAGAAGCAGAGCCAGCCACAGCACCTTGCTGGGTACAATGGTCGGCCCAGCTGAGGGTAGAGGCATGACCCTCCCACACTGGCCTGAGTACTATCTTCTTGTACAGCTTCGGTGCAATAGGTGGCCAGCAGTTGGCTGGATCCATGCAGAGCTGGGCTGTGGTCTGACAGGTACATCAGAAGGACAATAAGGCAGAGTTTAGGGTGTGGGTAGGACATTGATGGGATGGGCTACATAATCTGGACTGTAGAGAGAGGTAAATGCAAGCAGGGAAGTGGCCAGTAGATGGGCAGACAGTCAAAGGAAAGGGACTTCTAAGGAGAGGAAGTGGGTAAATCTGGATCAAGAAACACTTGGAGTTACAAAGATGGCCACAAGCTTGGGCTGTCAAGTGGCATGCTGCTCGGTGGGGAAGAAGACAGAAGCAACGTGTCAGTGAGCCAGACAATCTCTATCAGGTTAACTCTCTTGCCAAGACCAGGCTTGTACCCAGGAAAAGGGAAAGAAATGTAAAGAGGGGCATGAATGGAACTGTAATAACCCCATTTCTTTGTGATCAGGTAGGGCATTATGCAAAGAATACAAAACTTGAAGTTTTTAGAAATCTTGCTTTGAAATCTCACTAAAGAGGCTTCATTCTTACAATGAAAGACTTAAGAGGAAAAAGACATGCTCAGCTAGAGCAAGCCAGCAAATTACTAAGTACAGCTATGGATTTAGCTTTGAATTCTGATCACACCTGCCATGGAATTGCCATATGATGTAGGAATAGCTAATATTTATTAGTGCTATTATGACAAGTGACCCATTAAAATGATGATATAGTTAATAGAAAATTAAGTTCACCTGAATTCAAAATAATAATTTTGACTGCATAAAGGCATCAATTTGATTTTAAAAAATTTAAATCTCAATACCAACCTATATTTCTCTGAATTAGCATGCACTCCTTCTCCTTTGTGGAAAACTGGCTTCTGCTTGAAATGCCAAAGTCAAAGCAGTATTTATTCCTCCCCATGTCGAACAAAGTGCAGTTGAACACTGTTCTCCTCTGTCCCAAAGTCAGGCTGTTTTCAGCCAGCCGAATGGTCCTTTCCCCAGGACGTCTGGGGGCCTCCTTGAAGACGGCAATCACTCCTTGGACAAAAATGCATGGCGGGGGCAGCACCATCACCTCCACGCCAGACGCACATGTGAGTTCCGGCACCATCACCAATTTGTATCCAAATTTCTGGGCCAGGTCAATGGGTCCTGTGGAGGTAATAACCGAGTCTCGGCCAAGCAACTTCAGCACCACGGTGACATAGGCTTCGGGCCCCACAGGTGCACAGCCAAACTCAATCCACTGACCTTGAGAGAGTTCTGTCCTCTTGCTGGTTCTTATCTCCAGTGGTTGTCCCTGACTTGTTCTCTCCTCAGGAAGACTGTTGGTGAAGATGACATCCACCAAGATGTCAGGCTTATTCACAGGGAACAGGCACAGTGGTTGACTGGTGAAAAGTCCCACCTGGAAGGTGCCTTCTGCTGCCTTGGATGTCCTATTCAGATCAACATGAAATACAGGCCATTCCACCTTCAGAAAGGCACTTTTCTCCCACCAGGGAACTGGAGTGCTGCTGTCTGTCACTTCCTGAGTCATTGTGAACCAATAGTCGCCAGCTTCCTTGAAATAGAAGCATTCAAACTCAAGTGTCCCCTGGGACTGGTTGGTCAGGAGGTATTTGGTAGTCACAGTCTGGTTGGTGTTAGCCTCCAGCAACAGCACAGATACATTCCTCAGTGTCCCATTAGCACCATCAAAATACTGGAAATCCACAGACACTGTGGTGTTGCTTAGGGCTACATGTCCTGGCTCTCCCAAGAGGAGATATTCAGCTTCTCCAAGAACTGAAATGAAATGGTCAGAATGGGTTTTACAAAGGTATATTTGAGCAGCACTATTAGAGACATCAAAGAAAAAAATCATTATAGATACAAGTGAAGTCTGAACTGAGCCAAGGATGATATAAAATGATGCTGAGTGCTGATTCTGGGAGCTGAGCACTGTACTGTTTCCATTTTAAAGTGGCTCTGCTCCTTTATCTTCATTTTTTATGGTTATATCTAAAATAAACAGTGATACTCTGAATTCATAACATTCAACAGTATAATAAGTCTGCAATGAAAATCTATAAAGCAAGAGTAACAATTTACAATTCTCAAGATAAAAATCCATTCCCTCACTTTTCTCATTTTAATCATATTCTGGTGTTTAGGTATTTGGGGGAAATGAATATACAGTGAAGTGAGAGAAAGCTTATTTTTTTAATATGTTTTTATTTATTTTAGAGAGGAAGGGAGAAGGAGAGAGAGAGAGAGAGGGAAACATCAACTGGTTGCCTCCCATACGCACCCTGTCAGGGGACCAAACCCACAACCTGGGTATGTGCCGTGATGGAATCAAACAGGTTACCTCTCAGTGCACAGGATGACGCTCAACCACTGAGCCACTCTGGCCAGAGCTGAGAAAGCTTGGTTTAAATGATATAAATTTCTCTAGATTACTTAAAATTTAAGACCCTAAATATACTTGAAAATTATCATTTTCAGATATTCAAGACAAGTATTTTTTTGGACATCTTCACTGTAAAGAAACCAGTGACCCTTATTAGGCAGAAATTTTTACACAAATAAAAAATGTTGACACTGTTCTCCATGGGTCATCCAAGGAAAGAGTGAAACTTTATGAAATAGCTAGGCTTATCCTTGGCAACTTTAATGGCATTACAGCAACTGCTATTGACCCAGGCAGGGTAGATGACTACTAGCCCACAAGTATCACTATGATAGAGCCAATCCTATCTTTTTAAAAAGAGATCCATCAGAAGAGCTGAAGTAAAGACTGTATAAAACACAGACACACAGAATCTTTGTTTCTATTTTGAACTCTATCCAAATACGCATCAAAGGAGAGAGAATTTGGCAATGCCACAATCGGCTGGCCCATGGCTAGGGTAAGAAACAATTCTAGGTTTAAGGGACTGCAGTGCCCTTATGGTTTGAAAAACAAGATGTGTTAAGTATGAATTCAATTATCTTACTATGTATACCTCATATGCATACAAGATATACATATCATATCATATATATGTCCAAAGGGCCTCAATGTGTTGTTTAGGCTGGTAGTCTTTAAATCCCCCTTACATGTATTCAATCAATGATTATTAGAATCAGTACCTGAATATAATGGCACACAGAAATTTTGGGGTTTTCTTTTAATTAGCTCTGCACTTCTTTCATTTCTTATTTGAGATGAGGTGAAATAAAAGATATAAACTTGAATAGTCCTGAATGCTTGATTACCACTTGATTGAAAACCCTAGTAGGATAAAGTTTGTTTTTAAATTTATTTAATCAAAACAGAAGTTGAGGGATACTTTCTTTTGGATGGAGACAATTCAAGGTTAAGGTTGAAAAAGATGGCTGATTCTAGTGCCGCCTGTGTGCTGGTTCATAGCTGACCTGGTACCTTTTTGTGAAAAGGTGGCTAAAGAGACTCCAGTGCTCACTGGATTAAGATTAAGAGGCAAACACCACTTAGTTAACTAATGAAAGCCTATTGTCAATGACAGGGATTGTCAGTGAGGCAGATCAAATTCTGATTTGATGGGCAGCCAATCCATGAAAGAGACACACATGACCAGTTGGAAGTGGAGAAAAAAGATACAGTGGGTTCCAGCATAGTGTACTAAAGAGAGAGCTTACTACTTTATTCTTCAACTCTTGTTTTTACAGACAAGAATACCATTTCATTTAGAAAACTACAATTTGTACACCATCCTGACTACTACAGTATAGTTTTTTCTATTCTTTCATTTCCTGTCTCCCTATTCCTTTATTCTATTTAAAGGAACTGTTGTATCAATATAAACATGTTGCTTAAAAAACAACAACAACCTTCTTGATAATGGTATTTTTGATCAACATCAAATGGAGAAGGGGAAATAAAAACCCAGATCTATGAAAACACCTCCTCTTCCATTAGTAGCAGCCTGTGCACTCAGCTTCAATGCTCTATGCTCTATTTTATGCTTATTCAATCTTCATTTTTATATTCTAGTAAGATATTTTGTGCTCAACAATGACAAACACCCACGGCCCTAGCTGGGTAGCTCAGTTGGTGAAAGCATCATCCCGATATGCCAAGGTTGCGAATTCAATTCCCAGACAGGGCACATGCAAGAATCAACCAATGAATGCAGAAATAAGTGGAACAACAAATCGATGTTCCCACACACACACTCCAAAATCAATAAATTTTTTAAAAAACATTGCTAAACATACTTGCAGGCTTTATTTAAATGGAAGATTTTATGTCTTTATGTACCACTATGAAACCAAGGACACTTTTATAATTTTTTGTATGAGGCTGTTACATGCAGAGCAATCTGTTTTTAAGTGACTCTGAAAGAAATGAATCCCAGATTGGTTTTCCATAAAAATTTGTTAAAATAAACTTCTTAAAAAAGAAATGACTGAGGAAGGAGATTCACTGGACAAAATGGCCAGCACACACTAGTCCATTTAACTGGCTGTGCCACTGATATTACACAAGCATTCTCCTTCTCTTGGATCATAATTTTTTCATCAAAATGAAAACAACTTCTATTTTCATACCATCAATTGCTTAGCTGTTTATGAAATATATGAAAATCATAAAAACTAGCATATTATTGAATTTATTGGTTCAGTAGTTGCATTCTGAGAAATGAACTCAATATTTAATTGAAACTGAATGTAGAAAACTAACATTAAATACCTACTGCTCAGCCATTTAAGGTTTCAAATTCTTGACTTTATTCACAATGCTGTGAAGCCAATATTATTGCCAAGGTTGAAAAAGATTAAAAAATTTATCTAAGGCATACAAGTGGCAAGGACTGAAACTCAAATTGGTTCCAAAGATAATCTAGCAGCAAAACTCTCCTGTCAAGTGAAATCTTATGTCAAACCCCAATGTATAAAACATCATTTCATGTGTATAACAGGCTTGTCTCCAATTTGTTAAATTGAAAGTGAGTTTATCTTTTAAAAGACTTAAAAATATATTTAAAGTGAAATTTGAATCAATAATACAGAACCTTAAGAGAACCCAGGGTTGTAAGAATCATAGTTTAAAAGGTACTAAACTATAAACCCTGCCCTGCCTCCTCATGCAGGGTCATCAACATCAATGCATTTATAAACTTCACAATTATGTTTCTTCATTGAGTCCTATAGTGTTAAGTACACTCAAAATACTCACCACAGTCACAGAGTACCACCAACAACAGATTTGAAAAGTCTTTCAACATTTGTTTCATTCTGATCAGCAAAATCCCAGGTCTTTGGCCTCCTCATGTCCTTTCTCACATCTAAATTGTGAATTTTTTTTTCAAAAACACCTGAAATTAGAACCTCAGAAAAGTAATGATATTCTTAAAATAATCATCACAAAATGACAAAAATCATTCTAAGATGTCAAACTTCCTAGGTAATACTGAAAAGAAAACAGAAAAAACACTGATTTTCACTGGGGATATGATCTGTAATTATACACTTCCCTTTTGCTCCATTATAGCTCACCTGTTAAGAACGTTCAGGATGCCCAACACCAAGTTTATCTTTGCAGAACATCTTTGTAGCACATCTTTAAGGAGAATTTGTTGTTATTTGCTTAACTTCATCAAGGCTAATAGCCAATCTTTTTTTTTTTAATTCTCACTTGAGGATATTTTTTCCATTGCTTTTCAGAGCGAGTGGAAGGGAGAGAGAGAGAGAAACATTGATGTGAGAGAGACACATCGATTGGTTTCCTCCTGCATATGCCCTGACCGGGACCGGGGACCTAGCCTGCAACTGCGGTATGTACCCTTGGCTGTAATCAAACCTGGACCCCTTCAGTCCACGGGCCAATGCTCTAACCGCTTAGCCAAAACAGCTAGCGTCTAATAGCCAATCTTGGTAATATATCCTCACTTATTTATTTGCTTGGTATTTCACACTGATTTACCAAACTTTAGTAAATTTACTAAATTTTTGCCAAACTTTCATTTTGCCTTGTGCTGTGTAGAAAGTCCTGCCTCGCTTCCACAAATGGATGTACTATCTTTCTTGTACCGAGTGTTATCCAAATTGCTTCATTTCTTAATGCCTAGGAACTATATCAAAACTATCAAATCTTTGAAAAGAGATGCCCACAGTACTGCAATTAAATGTGAACTCCATGTGGCCCTGACTTCCCTTGTTTAGGGCACTCTAAAGAGAAAACAGAGAAATAACAGTTATCATCATCTGTCAGTCTTCTAATACTTGTTGCTGCTGGTATGCATGAGAAGGATGATTTCATACAGCAATCTTCCCAGACCACCTAGGAGAGCAGGAAAGACCTTGTTGGCCTGTGCTTCAGGATGATTTGTGGGAGTAGGCACTCATTTTGATATAAATAACTGTTAGACTACAGAATAAGGTACAGGGCATTTAAGTGCCCCCTTTTTTCATATTAAACTCTAGTAAAAATGGGCTACTAAACATAATCAAATATATATTTACTTAATGTTTATATTCCCATTGTCCAGTTAATAATTTTAATAAATATATTTTATTCCAAATATAATACACTATGTCTATTCAAATAAGGCAGAAAATAATGGAATCAAAGGGCATGATTAGAACAATAAAAAGTTCAATGGAAAGAAACTGATGTCTCTATTAGCTTTCTTTTAGTGGGAGTCGGTTGAACAAAGGAAATATGTACTGTACTTCCTCAAAGGAAAGCAGAGATTGAAAGCGTAATTATGCAGATGATTAGGACTCCCTTCCCTTCCCAACAACAACAAAAAAATTCAATTTTGCTAGAATTAGGCACAGATTTGACCTAAATCCTTTCTTTGAATGTGGACTGGGAAACTTTGTGGAAGACAGCAGGTGAACATCATGTACCTCCCCAGCAAGCAATTAAAAATCTTCCTTTAAGTCGGGGATACTCAATAACCAGAGTCAGGAGAAACAAGCATCCCTAGATCCCAAAAGTTGAAAGGGTTTTTCCCAAAGTGCTTGCTTCCCCGTTATAACTATTTTTTAAAGAAGCTCCTAATTACAACTTATTTTGTGATTATAACACATTTTCCTCCTTAATACAATGACCAGTACAGCCTGGAATAGTGTAATAATCTATATTTAGAACTGACTAGAAATGGAATAATAAAATAAACCATCCTACCTGAAATCATAATACAGATTTTTTTTTAATATTCTCAAGTTTTTGAAAATAAATGCTGAATTTTCACTAGCTTAACCATTAATGTGAAGACTTTAACAGAGCATCCCAAAATAGAATGAATTGCTGGGTAAAAAGCACCACATTAAAAACAAAAAAAGATAATAGCATGTTTTTTGTTTGTTTTTGTTTTTGGTAACCTTGCTTAATTTATCCCAACGTGTTGTTCCCAATACAGTACTTGCTACTTATGTTTGACTTGAGAATCGTCTTGAGAAAATAACAACTTAGGTATATTTTATACACATTTAAAAATACTTCTATATAGCATTCACAGACATAACTGTTTACAAATTCTAAATGTACCAACTACAGGGTAAACAGATGTTGTGGAATATTCTCAATGGCTACTGGTTTCACGCCAAGCTCAGATTCCACGTTTTTGGTGAAACCAGCTAAGATAAACCCTTACAGTGTCTTCGTAGTTGCAGAAAAAAGACAATGAATTACGCTAAAGGCCGGGGGACCAATGGCTTATTAAAGAATAAAAGGGAAAAGAAAAAGAAGCAAAGTTATTTTGCCCCTTCTGATAAACCTGCACATGCTCGTATGTGTATACCTATAATAGTAATATTTATTAGGAGGAAATCCCTAATTCCAAAGCCGCGCGTGTAAACGGGCCTTATTCATGTGCGCACTCCGGCGGCTCTGCCCCGCTCCCCCCGGCGCACGCTGCTTCCCCGGGAAGCTGTGCGCTCCCCGCATCCACTCAGCTTTCCACAGGCCCGCAAGTCAAGTTCACGCTTGCAAGTCTAGCCCTGCCTGTGTCGTCAGAGAAAGCACTCTTAAAATGAGGACCGTTTTGAAATGCTTATATCTCATAGTCTCATATCCCAGAAGGGATTTCTTTCGGGGAAAGGAGCTGACGTGTTCTGAAACGCTTAGTAACCTAAGACGCTACTCTTAAGGGTCGCAACTACTCGGACTTCCCAGTCCACAGTCGGCCTCAGTCCCTCGGCTACACCTGCACCTGGGGAGAGCCGGGTTCTGGTTAGAGCCGGGACCGGCAGATACGGGGACGCACGCTTTTAGAGCGTTTTGCCTGGGGATGAGCACCAAGCCGTGAGGGAAGGCGACTGGGTGCGTCGCAGGACTGGCACCGTCTACCAGGGCTTTCGGGCAGCGGGCAGGGTGGAGGCAACAGGGTCCGGGAAGTCACCGGCACGGGAGCGCCTGCCGGTCGCGGGAGGCTCTTCTTACCTCTCGGAGCTGGTGGGAGCGGTGGCCCGGCCCGGGCGAGCGTGGTGGAGAGAAGGGCGGCGGGCAGAAGCCTCAGGGCCCGCGAGGAAGCGCACCGAGCATCCCGCGTCCCGGGACTGCCCGCCCTG